AGATCTCACGCAGGCAAGGCACGTGCAGAGTTGCTAAGCTATATCCCCAGGCCAACCCCCGGGTCTTAAGGGCACCGTCCCTCCTGCCAGTCTCCAAACCACCACCGCAAGGCTCGAATCTTGGAACTAAAATCTCCAGCTGGTACTCGTGGGTCCTCATCGCCCCTCCCCCACCCCACCCCTTCCTCAAACAGCAATTTCAGACCCTCTTCCCACTCTCCAACTCCCAGGCCTGTCCATCACGCACACGGACAAGACTCCTGTTCCGTGAGGTGGACCCCAGGAACAGAAATGTGATCAATTTCTTTTTTTTTTTTTTCACGTTTCAAAACCAAACTCTGAAGTTCCAAGAGCACAGCCTTCACAACGCACACGATTCCTTCTAGTTCAAAGGCTTCTGTGGTTCCCAGCTGAGTGCTGAAAGGAGGGAACACGCGGGGGCCAAGGACCTCACCAGGATGCTGGCAGGCGTCTGAACAGCACGTAGGAGCTCACCAGGGAAGGGAGAATTGCAGAAGGAACAGGGACTGAAAGACATCGTGTGGAGGGCCCCCCAGTTTGCCATAATGGCCCCATCAAGGTTAACAATAATTATAAATTACTAATGACTTGCCTTTCAAACTTTTTTTTTTTACTTCTGCTCTCTTTTCTATCAGCTTTAGTCTACCAGACTCTCGACTCTTAAACTCATGGTCACGGTCACGGTCCTCCCATTGTTCATCGATTTGCAATGTGGGGGTGTCACACAGTATTTGGAAACCAAGGTATGGCACCAGAGAGAGAGTTCAGGGGTTACGGGGCTCCCATGCACATGGCCAACACCACGTGTGTCTCCCTAAGTACTGCTATGAGTGGCCCCTGAGCACAGAGCCAGAAGTAGGGCCTGAGGTTTGGGCATGGCCCAAAAACAAAATAAATCTGTAGAACTGGAGAAACAGTAGAGGGTGTAAGGCACTTGCCTCTCATGGGGCCAAGCCCGGTTCGATTCCCTAACCATCACTGGCATGTGACCACCCCAAAATAACAGAAAGCAAAATAAATAACAAAAAATTGATTCACATACATATGTGGTATGCCTGGGATCATGTATAAAATTTCCCAAACAAACAAAAAAAAAAAGAGTTCTGACTGGTTTGAGCTTAAAAAGCCCTAAATAAGACTATGTGCTTTTCTGCCAGTACTCCAGAAACTTCTTGTCTAACCTCCATCTAGAATACTCCGACCTCTTCCTGTTGGATTCCTCTACAAAACAAAAGGCTAAAAATTCAAATATTGGTTCCATTTGGTCTAATCAAATGACCTTCCTAGTACAGATATCCTTGGTGATGACCCTGAAAAGAGTGAGGTTTAAATTCACTTCCTCGCTTCTGGGAAGAAGTGGGTTATCAGATTTCCATTGTTCTGTTCCAGTTAGCAGAGTTGCTTTAAGAGGTTGAGGGAGCAGGGTCCCAACCTTAAAGGTTGAGTTCTAGGAATACTGAGTCATGTCTCTGAAACTGGAGCACCGTCAAGTCAAGTAAACCTAGGAAACTCTTTTAGCTATTCATCTAAGTAAAAGCTGTCAACCACTCACCTTAAATTTAGCCATGGGCGTTTTGGGGGGAAAGTGCTCGAAAAGAAAGTTCCCACAGGGAAAGGGGTAAGAGAAGTGAGGGATAGATGGTTGCTGAGAGCCCAGAAGTAGTGAAAAAGCAAGAGATATGCACTCAGGAATCTTCAAGACAAGTGGCCCTTTCAACCAACAGGACTCTGGCTTCAAATAATCAAATTTAAGGTCAACTGGGTTCTTTGATTTAAGGTCAATTGGAGTTTTGCCCCTAGCGCTAAAAGCATGCTGGCAAATTCAGCATCCTTGGGGGAATTTTTGCAAGGCTTTCCAAGATGTTTAAAAAAAAAAAAATGTCCCAGCCCCCAGGGCACAAGAGACCGTTCAGCAGTGAAAGCTTTTCATGTAGAAGGCCCAGTTCCATCCAGGCACCCCCAGCAACGCATGGTTACTTCCCTAAGCCCAGCCTGAAGGGGGTACACTAATTCTGACTCCCTTTGGGTGTAAGGGAGGTGATTAATAATGAATAAACTAATTTGGGGAGCCCTCTGGAGTTAACTGTCAACTCATCTTTGTAACTAATAAATAGCCCCTCCCCAACAAACACATACCCCCACCACAACACACACACACACACACACACACACACACACACACACACACACATCTAAGAATTGTGTCTGGGGCTGTAAGGAAGGGAACCAATTTTAGAGAGACTTAAGAAACGCCAACTTAATCTTGGGTGGGGTTGAAAATGGGCCTTTAACACAAGGTTAGATGCTTAAGGAATAACTGTGACAGGGTCCGCTGACCCAATAACCCAAGCAGTAATGAACAGATGAAAGAGGACATAAGTTGTAGATGAGAGATATCTGACTATGTAAATACACTTGACATTTCTATTCTTTTGAGAAGATAGCAAGGGGGAGTCTGAGAGAGACAGTACGGCAGAGCTTACCTTGCAAAGAGTCAATTTGGGTTTGCTCCCCGATAATATATACGGTCCCCTACGCAATGCAAGGAGATATCCCTGAGCACAGAACCAGGAGTAAGCCCTGAGCACAGCCAGGCGTAGCCAAAGGGTGGTGGGGGATTATGAAGGAAAATCAACTCTTAAAAGGCAGGCACTGAAACCGCTAACACCTGAAACCAAACCGAGTGTATGCAAAAGAGGATGCATTTATCAGTAATAATGTTAATTATTAGAGCTGGGAGACAGAAGAATCCAAAATAATAATTACAAACTTCTTGGGGGGGGGGGAAGAACGTGGCAGGGAAGGAAAAAAAAATAAATCAAGGTATACTTCGGTATCCAACTTACTTTAAAGGAAAGTTTTGCCTTGATTTCTATAATTTGAGTAGGTCATAAGACACCATAGATAAATAAGGCTTCTAGTGAAAATGCAAAAAAAAAAAAAAAAAACAGAAACCCAAAAACTCAGAAAATGAAATAATTTTCAGTATTATTTAAAACAAACAAACAAACAAAAAAACTTCAACCTGGGTTCGATCCCTAAACCACAAATCCCAGGCGGGGTTATTTGTATCCTCTTTTGAAATCTATCAACTTTGCAACAAAGGGAAACACCTGTTTTTAGAATAGGAAACCCGAGTTAAGAGTGTGAGGGGCGGCTCAATCCCTAACTCACTCACACCAGGCTGGGGTTCTTTGCATCCTCTTCTGAAATCTATTGATTTTGCAACAAGCAGAAAACCCTGTTTTGTTTTGTTTTTTTTTTTTTTTAGACTCAGGAATTAAGTCACGGGGGTATGAAGCTGCTACGATTGAAGTTCTACAAGCGCTATCCTTGGGGGGAGAAAAAATGTGATGAATTTTAATGAGCCTTCAACTTTCGCTTTCAGCAAAGTTCTATTTTTCCATAAAAAGTCGTCATCGGCCCTCGCCGTCATTTAGAAATGGGGAAGAGAACTGAAGGGAGTTCGCTGGACTCAGCACATGCTTTGCGTGCAAGAGTCCCGGTCGGATCCCCAGGGTCGGATCCCCAGGGTCGGATCCCCAGGGTCGGATCCCCAGGGTCGAATGCTGGCCAGATCTCCAGCACCAGATCCCTGGAACGCCGCCAACAGCAACTCCACCCAAGCAGAGCTGGGAGCGGTAGACCCTGAGCACCCCGGTGTGGCCAAACTCAAGTCAATGGAGAAAAGAAAAGTGAAATACAAGAAACCAAATACAAGAAAAAGTTCCCGGCAGCCAGTTAGAATGGGAGGTTTTGGGCTTCACAGGAAGGAGCAGGAATGCCCGTTTCTTTTCAGTGCGCAGCGTCCCTGGAGGGATCTCGGGCTGGCGGCGCCTTCCAAAAGTGACACCCGCGTCCCCTGGCCACGAATGAAAAGTTCAGTGTCCCTTCTCTCCCAGCTACCCATCCCAACACTGACTGTCCGCGGCGGCTGGGCCGTGCCCAGCAAGCGAAAGGAGCGCAGACCAACAGGTTATCTGTCAAGTGGTCCGAGGAAACGAGTCACAAAACCTCACCGTGACCAACAGCGACGTGCGCTCTTCCAAGCACTTCCCCGCCGCGCTCCCCTCCGGACCCCGGGCCGGCCACGCGGGACCCCCACTTCCCCCCTCCCAGACCAACCTCCGCGTCACGCATCATGTTCCGGACAGGACACCGCCCACCTCCGCCAAAGCTGGACCCAGGATGCGACCCAGAAGCCGGGAGGGAGTCGAAGGAACGATCGCGCACGGGGCGATCGCCGTCCCGCCCAGGACAGGGACAGGGGCAGGGACGAGGCAGGAACCAGGGAGAAGAGAACGACTGATGCTCGGGGCAGCGTCCTTCGCCCGGGGGCCGGCGGGCGGGCCGGGGGAGACACTTGGCCCACCGAGACGCACCCCCAGCGCCCCTAGGGTCCCTCCCCACGCGCCCAGGGCCACTTCCGCGCCGAGCGCCTCCCCGCCGGCCTCTCCCGCGCCCCAGCTCCGGGGGGGTCCGGGGGCTCTGGGCTCCCCGCCCCTTTGCTCTCCCACCAGCCCATCCCTCCCGGACCACCACAGTCAACTGGTTTTAATGAGAAAAGAAAAGAAAAAACCCGAAGAGGTCCCAGGCTAGCGGGCCTCCCTCCCGGGAGAGCGCAGGGAGAGGCGGAACAAGCCCGGGTCTGGGGGTCCCCGCAGCGCCGCTCCGAGCGATCGGCGCGGCCGGGGGGCGGCGGGACGCCCCGGGTGGGCTTCTCCCCGCTCTCCCGCGCCGCGACCTCCTCGGGATGGGGCGTGGGGGCGCAGCGGCCCGCCGGGGGCAGCGCTGCGTCCCCGCGGCGCCGTGAGCGCGCGCGGACCTGCCCCGTCGGGACGGCCGCTCTCGGGGTCTGGGGGTCTCGGGGGTCTCGGGGGTCCCGGGGTCCCGCCGGGCCCCGCCCGCCCCGAGCCCGCCGCGCCGGAGGTCGCCCCCCGCCCGGCCCCGGGGGTCCCCGCCGGCTCCCCCGGGCTCACCTCTCCTCCGGGGCGGCAGCGGCGAGAGCGCCCGAGCCGAGCAGCTGAGCCGAGCGCGGCGGCGGCGGCGGGTCCCCACCGGCGGGGGCGGCCGTGACGTCACAATGGAGCGGGCAGCCAATCGCGGCGCGGGGGGCCCAGCCCGGCGCTGTGACGTCACGCGGCCCCGGCGCCAATGGGCGCGCGCTGGAACTTTCGTGCCGGGGGCGGCCGGAGTGGGATGGGGCGCGCCGGCCCCCGGCCCCCGGTTGGCCTGGGCCGGTTCACGTGTCTCGGGACCGAGGTTCGCCCCTTTGGGCCCCACTAAGCCTGCGTGGAGCGCGGAGCCTGCGCACTGGCAGCGGGGACGGTCCCCGGGCCCGAGCGCCGCGGGCGAGATGGGGGGAGGGGAGCGGAGGGGAGCGGAGGGGAGGGGGCGGCCGCCTGCCGCCGTCGGACCGCCCGAGCCTTGCAGGCCACGCGCGCCCCGCGCTCGCCGGGACGGGGAAGTGCCCGCGGACACGCGCGCCCGTGCCCACGCGCGCGCGCACTCACACACGTGGGCACACACGTGCACACACGCACAGGAGCACCACACACGCGAGCACCCTCACGAAGGCAGCACCCACAAAAGCACCCCGCAAAGACTTGCCAGCAAACTCCCTGGTGGTTGGATGTGCCAGGGAGTCTTTCTTTTTCTTTTTATGAGTGAAACTCCATGTGGTACAGTTGTTGGCCTTACAAGTTTTTGTACTTGTAATCCTACAATGATCATCGAGTACCCATGCCTCCACCAGTGCCCGTTCTCCACTACCAATGATCCCAGTAGCACTCCCACCCCCAAACCCCATCCCCACCCCCTCACCCCCCACCCTGCCTCTGTGGCAGGGCATTCCCTTTTGTTCTCTCTCTCCTTTTGGGTGCTGTGGTCTGCAAAAGAGGCATTGGGTGGCAATCGTGTTTGGTCTATAGTCTACTTTCAGCATGCTTCTCCCATCCTGGGAGGATCCTCCCAACACCCTTTACTTGGTGCTCCCTTCTCTATCTGAGCTCCCTTTTCCGCTAGCATGTGTAGCTGGCCTTCAAGCCATGGAGTAAACCTCCTGTAACTTATCCTGACTATTCTAGGATGGTCTCCTAGTTTGTTACTTTATATTCTACCAGGGATTATTTCTAGCGCTCTAGAAATCCAAATTTTCAAAGACTTGCAAAGACGGTGTGGAAATGTCTTTATAGTGCAATACATTTAGCACTTAAAGTCCTCGGCTCCGGGACAGAGGATCCTGCTGATGCTTTTTTATAGTTGGCTAAATTAAGGCCATGGGCCTAGGATTCCAGGTCTTCCCTCTGTCCAATCCCCTGCCCCTCCTCCCCCAATTTAGTTTGTGGAGTCCTCTGCAAGCAACACACACACCTGGGCACTCGCTGGAAGGGTTGAATGCCAGAGGGCACACACACACACACACACACACACACACACACACACGCTCACACATGCACAGAGGTCCTTCCTGCTGTATTTCTACTTCGCTAATCCCATTGACTCCAGGCAATGGCTCATGTAGTATTGGCAAATTAATTCTTACAGACAATGTTTACACTGATCTCGGGCCCTCTGTGAAAAACAGAAATTTATAGGAAAACAGGTGCACAAACCAAATACAAATTAGGTTGTTTAAACATGCCCAAGTACATTCGATTTTTGTGTGTGTGTACGACCAAGGCCTGGCCCTTGACTGTTGAGCTACATCCTTACCACGTCCCTATAAATGAGGGTTTTTTTTAACAGGCAAATGTCATTCCACAACACATAAAACCAAATATGAAGTAGGTCATACCAAAATAAGATTGTGTGTGTGTGTGTGTGTGTGTGTGCGCGCACGCGCGTGGTAACAGGAGGCCTGGCACTTGACTGCTTAGCTACATCCTTGCTTCCAGTAAATGAGATTTGTAACAGGCATTCGCCATTCAACCCCACAAACTCACTAAGATGACTTCAGTTCGTGAATACTTTGCTGGATACTGTAGCACTGTCTATCACTGTCCTCCCGTTGTTCATCGATTTGCTCCAGCAGGCCCAGTAACGTCTCCATTGTGAGACTTGTTGTTACTGGGGTTTTTTTTTTTTTTTGGCATCTCGAATACATCACGGGGAGCTTGCCAGGCTCTGCCGTGCGGGCGAGATACTCTCAGTAGCTTGCCGGGCTCTCCGGAAGAGGGGCAGAAGAATCGAACCCGGGATGGAGGAACGGAACCCCGCCGGGTCAGCCGTGTGCAAGGCAAATGCCCTACCGCTGTGCGAAGGCTCCTGGATATTAGGATTAAGGATTCTCAAGAACCAGGCTTGGAGGGATAGTAAAGTGGTAGGAGTTGCCTCGCCCACTGCAGACCTGGGCTCATCCCCCGTATTTTGAATGGTCCCACACAGCACCACCAGGAGTGGTTCCTGAGTCAGGTGTAAGTTGTGAGCACCTTCCTGTGTAACACAACTCCCCGCCCTCCCTACAACCGCCTCCCCCAAAAAACTTTCCAGAATCCCTGCTGCTGTGAAATGATACAGGCAGAACTCAACTGCTCTGCTGTTTGGTAAGTGCTACAATGTAACCAACGTTCTCAGCTTGGCTAAGAATTTTGTATCCAAGAGCAGTGGCAATGACTTATTAAGTTCTCACCCTAAATTCTCTGTAACTCTCACTCTCACCCGAACTCTCTCTAAAAGAGACAGTTACAAATTTGGAAAATCTCCAATATTTTTTCTTTTGATTTTGTTGGTGCCATTTTTTTTTTTTTGCAGGCATTGGCCCTGGTCTACACTGGATACAGTTACAAGGTTGGATACCAGGACCTTAAACAATATCCTTGACCCAATAATTGCAAGTTTTACACAGCACTTCTTTTTTTTTTTAATTACATTCACCTATCAGGAAAATGTTTCAAGTCCATACTAACAAAATATAGGGACTTGCTTCTAATTACAAGCTGTAGCTATTAAGTCATATATTCAATATTAATATATATTTTTCCAATTGTAAGATAGAACTAAATACAATATTCCAACAGTTTATTCCTGTGTTGCAAAGAATCAAAATGCCCCTTGACTCATGGCTCTTGGGTTCTTTGTATCTTGGTTTTATCACTTGGCACTGCAGTTGCTTGCTGATGGTTACATCATGCTTGAGCAATAGGGTGCTTATACCCCCTGTTTTTTTAATGACTGATTTTAGGAACCTGGGCTGGAGCGAGAGCACAGCGGGAGGGCGTTTGCCTTGTGCACAGCTGGCCTGGCCAAACCAGGTTCGATTCCTCCGCCCCTCTCAGAGAGCCCGGCAAGCTATGGAGAGTATCTCACCTGCACGACAAAGCCTGGCAAGCTCCCCGTGGCGTATTCGATATGCCAAACACAGTAACAACAAAGTCTCACAATGGAGACATTACTGTGCCCACTGGAGCAAATCGATGAACAACGGGAGGACAGTGCTACAGTGCTACCGTGATTTTAGGGACCAGAGAGAACTCAATGAGTTGAGCGTGTGCTTTGTATGCAGGAACCCTGGGTGTGATCCCTGACACCACATGATTTCAGGAGCATCGTCTACTGTGTCCCAAAAAAAAAGCCAAAATGATAACAAAGCCTTCAGCTTTAGATTGTAAGCTCTATTGGCAAGGGAAACACGTTGGATTTCACTTAGCACGTGCAATAATTTGTACATGTGGTAAGAGCTCAGTAATTGTGTTTTGGATGAGTGGTTTCTTCTCCCCACCAGGCCACAATCATTACCTGGTTCTTTCATTTACCACACGAAATGAATCAGATCAGATCATCTGAATCAGATAATCTTGTCCCAACTCTACCAATGTATTCCAAACATTTCTAAACTAGTAAGGCTATGAGCTCCTTGTCCTGCAACATAGACACTTGGGGTTCCCAATAATAAATGATGTCAAGGGAACTCCTTAACACATACCACTGTTCTTTCAATCTAGAGTGTAAACTCACATGGCCGCAGTTGGAATTACTCAATATTGCCAGACCGTTACCTTTGGTTTTTGTTTTGAAACCACACTCAGCTGTGCTCAGGAAGCACTCCTGGCCATGCGGAGGGGATCACATGGGGGGCCAGGGATGGTTTTCCAGGTTGGTCACAAGCAAGGCCAACTCCCCTCTGGCTCTGTCATCTCTCCAGCCCTGCACTGTCCCCTTAAAGAAACTCTTGTAAGAAAAGCAGTGAAGGGGTTGGAGCAATAGCACAGCGGGGAGGGCGTTTGCCTTGCACGTGGCCAACCCAGGTTCGATGCCCAGCATCCCATTAGTATGGTTTCCTGAGCACCGCCAGGGGTGATTCCTGAGTGCAGAGCCAGGAGTAACCTCTGTGCATCACTGGGTGTGATCCAAAAAGAAAGAAAGAAAGAAAGAAAGAAAGAAAGAAAGAAAGAAAGAAAGAAAGAAAGAAAAGCAGTGAAATTTAACTGATTTCCCTACTTAACTTTTTTTCCCCCTTCGAAAGAATACTTAAGACACATTCTCATCATTCAAGGCAGTGTTTTAGCTGGTGTCAGAGGAAGATTTCTGCCTATCAGATGCTAGAGCGTTGATTGGAGCGGAGCGTTCTAGCTCTTTCATCCAGACTTTCCAAGATGAACTCAGGTAATTTTGTCATCTTCCTCGTTTCTTTCAAGTATCCCTGTACCAGTCCCTTGAGAAACAGCTGTTGAATTCTCAATAGCTGTTCTATTCCTCCTCCTCCAATATTTGTTTTGTTAATGCTGGTAACATTTTCTTTCTGCTCTAGTTTGCATCTGTGGGCCCAGTGTTCCTCCACCCACACACTTCCAAGTGTATTGAAAGTTGCCTTTGAGAAAGCCTTTGAAAAAGGAAAGGAAAAAGTTGTGCTCGGGACTTTTGGTCCTGTGCTCAGCGGACATGACGATGCTTTGGGGTAAGGACTACAGCTGCATGTCTTACCTTCCTACCATCTCTCAGTCCAGAGAGAGTTTTAAGATCCCCTGAAAGTGTTCTATTGTCAGAACATCTACATTTGAATTAAGAACCATCAGAAGTTGGGCCAAGAAGTAGGACAGCATGACTTGCAAGCGA